TGAATTTATTTTTTCAGATTGAACAATCGTTCCTCAAATGGATAGTGATAGGTGATCTAAAAAATAATCTTTAAAAACGTCGCCGAGTTGGGCATTTCCTCCGGGTGACATAACTCAGTGTGACAGAATGCATTTAAATTCACGGGAAAGAAATGGCAAGGAGTGCGGTGCGGACGGTGTTTGTGTGGGCTGCGGCTCCTTAACCCTCTCCTCGCAGGGTCCTCGCCCCCCGCCCCCTCCACTGCCCGGCCGTGGGCACCTTCCCCCCCCTCGCTGCCGCCAGCCCTGGGTCTCCCCCAGCAGGGAGGCTCTGGGAGAGGGTGAGGCTTGCTTGATGGGTCAAACGAAGAGGTGCTGGGACCTCTTGAAGACGGCGATTCTTGCCCTCCCAGTTCCCGCTGCATTTCTGTTTTCCTGCATGGCCACCGTGGCACCAAGGACTGGGCTTTGCCTTGGGAAGGCCAGGGCCAGGCCAGATGGGGCTCAGGGACAAGGACCTGCAATCAACTCAGCACCCCCTGTGCAGGAATCCGCACCGCAGCCGCACCCTGGTTTGGTGTCAATAAAAGGAAAAAGCCAGCGGTGGCAGCAGGGTATTGGGTCTAAGCTACGTGAACGGTAGGGAGTCAGTTGTCCCCCCTGCGATGGAGGCGACGGTGGGAGGAACAGCTTTGGGTGCCCGGGGAAGGAGGAGCCAGGAGCTCGGTTTTGGACTTGGTACGTTTGAGGTGCTCATTAGACATCCACGTCGGGGTGCTGGGCAGGAATAGTAGCTACCCAACTGTGGAATTCAAGAAAGAGTTCTGGGCTGGGGATATACATGTGAAACTTTTTAGGGATTTTTGAAAATAATTGTCAAATTCCTTTTCAGGAAAGTTCTCGAATGAACAAGCTCTCTAGAGGGTATGGAAATTCCCAAATGCTAGGTATTAGCTTAAAAAAAAAATCCATGCCAACTCGATAGGTGGAAAATGGCGTTTCAATATTTTCCTTTGCATAATGTAGATTTCCAATGCAATTAACCTCTTAATGTTTTTTGGCAATTTCTACATCAGTTCCAGTGGATTGCACGATCATGTCCTTTGTCCATTTAAAACATGGAAATGGGGGAAAGGCTTTAACCAATGCTCACACATTACTGAACATTAAATAACTTCTAATACAAAGGAATATTATAAATTGAAAAAAAATGGAACTGGGTGTTGTTCTCTTCATTTTGATGGAGAAGAAATTTTAGATCTTATGTTTTTTGTTTTATGACAAATAGTTTTTCTGAATTTTAATTTTGTTTGTGGTACTTCTTGTTGTATAGAAGGCTGGCATATTGATATAGTCAAGTGTATCAGTTTTTCCCTTAAGAAATATTTTTAGAGAAATATAATATGGGGTCTGACTCTGTTGCCCTGGCTAGAGTACAGTGGGGCAATCTTAGCTCACTGCAGCCTCAAACTCCTAGGCTCAAGCGAGCCTCCTGCCTTGCCTCCTGAGTAGCCGGGACTGCAGGTGTGCACCGCCACACCTGGCTTTTTAAAAGAAAAAAATTTGGTAGAGATGGGGTCTTGCTATGTTGCCCAGGCTGGTCTCAAATTCCTGACCTCGAGTGATCCTCCTGTCTTGGCGTCCCAAAGTGCTGGGATTTTAGGCGTGAGCCACCACGCCTGGCCAGTTCCTTTTGTTTTTTCTTCTCTTGCTTGGAAAGCCATTCTTCTGACATCAGAAAATGATTACTCTATATTTTATTCTACTTTTTAATGGTTTAATTAAAATAATAACTCTTTGACTCATTTAAAATTTATTTTGATGTATGGTGAGAAACCCAGAATTTGTTTCCAGCCTCAGATTGTTAATGAATTGTTCCTGCATCATTTATTGAGCATCCCACAAATTTCCCATTAATTTAAATGCTACTTTAATCAATACAAAATTCTTATGTAGACTTGGGCCTGTTTCCAGGCTTTTTAATTCTTTCATAGCTGTGTCTATTCTTCTACACTGTTTTAATTATTATAATTTTACAACCCATTTCATATCTGGTAGATAAAATCCATTATTTATGTTTTTGAAATTTTTCTTTATTATTCACCTTCTTTATTTTTCCATTAAAACTGTAGACTAACATGTTTAAATTCCAGAGAGTTTCAAGCCAAGTTTTAATTGCAATTCTATTAAGCTTTTACTTGACTTTAAGCAGAATTAATAGATTTGTAATATTGTTTTCCCACCCTGGAAGATGGTGTGTTCTCTAACAATGCAAATCTTCTTTTATGCCCTCTACAAAGTTTCATTGCTACTTCAAATACTTCTGCATATATCTTAAAGATTATATTCCTAAGTGAAAAATTATCTATTATCTATTTATCTATCTGTCATCTATGCCCGCAGTTTTCTTTTCTTTTCTTTTCTTTTTTTTGAGACAGAGTCTCACTCTGTTGCCCGGGCTAGAGTGAGTGCCATGGCGTCAGCCTAACTCACAGCAACCTCAGACTCCTGGGCTCAAGCGATCCTCCTGCCTCAGCTTCCCTAGTAGCTGGGACTACATGCATGTGCCACCATGCCCGGCTAATTTTTTTTCTCTCTCTGTATATATTAGTTGGCCAATTAATTTCTTTCTATTTTTAGTAGAGACGGGGTCTCGCTCAGGCTGGTTTTAAACTCCTGACCTCGAGCAATCCTCCCGCCTCAGCCTCCCAGAGAGCTAGGATTACAGGCGTGAGCCACCACCACGCTAGGCCTATCCCAGCAGTTTTCAACGGGAGCAATTTTGTCTCTCAGGGGACATTTGGCAGTGTCTGGAGGTATTTTTATTACTAGTCGTCACAGCTGGAAACCAGCTCCTGGCATCTAGTGGGTCGAGGCCAGGGATGCTGCTAAACCTTCCAGGATGCCCGGGATAGCTCTTGCACACAACAATGATCAAGCCCCAAATATCAGTGGTGCTGCGGTTAAGAAACCCTGACTGGCTCTATTGTGAATCGTTCTTTCTTCGTGGGGTTGTCCTACTGGCGTGGCAGGATTGTGATCAGCAGCAGAGGAGACGAGTTAAGTGTGCGAGGGTCTGGTCCCCTGTCCCCTGGGTGTCTGCGCTGAGCTCTGGGAAGAGCATCCTCCCCTAAAAGGCTGTGTTGCTGACTTGCACGGAGCCCGAGGGCACGGCGGTGTGGGGTCCTCCCATGGCCGTGGCTGCTCCAGGGCTCTTGGAGACACGTGGTGTCTTATCAGAGGCTGGTCTTCTGGGCAGAGACCAAGGATGGCCTGAAAGGAATTGCACGGTTCCACTTAGATAGAGGTCAAGAACTGGCAAGATCCACTCCCGGTGACAGGAATCAGAGGCATGGTTGATGGCGGGGGGTGGAGGATTGAGTGCAAGGGCCGCAGAGGAAATTGGGGGATTATTTCTGGAATAGCAGGCCCGGGTGTCAGGTGGGGAGTGTTTCTCCCCAGGACTTTTTATTCCTTAAAATAAAAGGCACAACCATAGCTAACGCCCCTTTGTGTCCTTCCCAACCTTGTTCCTTTCATTGTGGTAAAATACACGTAGCATAAAACTTACTATCTTCTCCATTTTAAGTATATAACTCAGTGGGATCCTGTACATTCATTTTGTTGTGTGATCGTCACCGCCATCTATCTCCAGAACTCTTTTCATCTTGCAAACACGAAACTCAATACCCACCAAACACTAACTCCCAGTCCCCCAGCCCCTGGACACCACCATTCTACGTTCTGTTTTTATGGGTTTTTTGGTTTTGTTTGTTTGTTTCTATGATTTTTTTTTTAACAGAAAGGGTCTCCCTATGTTGCGTAGGGTTGTCTTAAACTCCTGGGCTCAAGCCATCCTCCCACCTCAGCCTCCTGAGTAGCTGGGACTACAGGTGCGTGCCACCACACCCAGCTTCTTTCTACCATCTTCATACGCTAGAGATCGCATGTAAGGATTTGTTTTTGCATCTGGTTTGTTTTACTTAGCAGGATACCCTCCAGGCCCATTTACGTGGTAGCGTATGTCAGAATTTCATTTCTTTTTAAGGCTGACTAATATTCGATTATGCGCGTGTGTATGTGTGTGTGTGTGTATGTGTGTATATGTGTGTGTATACACATATATTGTACTATATTTTGTTTATCCAGTGTGCAAGTATCTCTGTGAGATACTGCTTTTAATTCTTTCAGGTATATACCCAGAAGTGGAATTGCTGGATCACATAATTTTATGTTTAAGTTTGTTTTTTTTTTTATTATGGGGGTACAAGTGTTAAGGTTATGTATATTGCCCACCCTCTCCTCCCCCCTATGTTTAAGTTTTTGAGGAACCATATACTGTTCACAGTGGCTGCGACATTCTACATTCCTACCCCCAGTGCATGAAAGCCTTGATTTCCCTACGTCCTCAACAACACTTGTTTTTTCTTTATCTTTTTTTTTTTTTTTTTTTGAGACAGAGTCTCACTTTGTTGCCCAGGCTAGAGTGAGTGTCATGGCGTCAGCCTAGCTCACAGCAACCTCAAACTCCTGGGCTCAAGCAATCCTTCTGCCTCAGCCTCCCGAGTAGCTGGGACTACAGGCATGTGCCACCATGCCCGGCTAATTTTTTTGTATATATATTAGTTGTCCAATTAATTCTTTCTATTTATAGTAGAGACGGGGTCTCGCTCTTGCTCAGGTTGGTTTTGAACTCCTGAACTCAAACGATCCGCCCGCCTCGGCCTCCCAGAGAGCTAGGATTACAGGCGTGAGCCACCGCGCCCGGCTTCTCACTGTGTTTTGATTTGCATTTCCCTAATGATTAACGATGTCCAGCATCTTTTCATGTGCTTATTGGCCGTTTGTATATTTTCTTTGGAGAAATGTCTATTCAAGTCCTTTGTCCATTTCAAGTTGTTTTGTTTCTTTGTTGTGACCGAGAAGTGTGTTTCTAAACATTACATTTAAAGTACCACGCTGTGATATCATTCAGCATTTTATTTTTCGCTTCATAATTTTTAATCTACAGGCCACTTTATTTTAACTGCCGTATAGTATTTTACTGCATGTGCATACTTCTATTTCTTCGCTGTCCCGTTGTTGGACATTTAGGTGATTTCCAGGTCTTCAGTATGACGATGCTTCAGTGACCATCCCCACTTGTTTCTGTGTATTTATTGTTTAGCCAGTCATAATATTGTTTTTCAGTTGGCCCTCTGTGTTCCCTAGAAAGACAATATTAACACGGACTTAAAATAATTCTTTTGCTGCTTTCTCTTCTCTAGTTATGATTCATATCTATACCTGGTCTTTTCACATTGCTTAGAAATTTCAAAACAATAGCAAATAGCAATGGCTCTCCTTGTTCATTACTGATCTTAACGAGGTATCCGCATGAGCTGCACTGTTAAGGATGATTTGGGCTTTCTGTTTGAGATAGATGTTATTTATCATGTTGAGGCATTACTTTTGTATTCGAGTTTATTTGAATGCATTTTATAGACTAATTTCAATGTTATTATGATATGTTTTTTCTTCTTCAAATGACTGTAGTAATAGACTTCTAATATTGAAACAACCTTGCCGTTTTTTTGATGTATTGTTCGCCTAATCTGTTGCGAAATTACATTTGCCTGCATTGTTTTAAAGTATTTTTGCATATTAAGTGTGATTGGCCTGTTTTTTTTTTTATTGGCTGTCTTTTAAGTCACAATTACAAGGTCTTCTCTTTCCTAGCAGAAAATTATTGAGATACAATTTACATACAGTAAAATGCACAAGTCTACAGCTTAATGAATTTTGACAAATACACACACCCCAGTAACCATCATCCAGATCAAGATATGGCACATTTTCATGGCTCCAGACAATTCCCTGTGGCCCTTCTATTAATGGCCAATGCCCCACCCAACCCCAGCAACCACTTCTCTGATTTCTATGACAAAAAGACTAGTTTGTCTATTCTTGCACTTAATATAAATGAGATCATATAATTTATACTTCTCTGTGTCTGGCTTCTTTCATTCAACATATTTTTATTTATTTTTATATTTAAGAGACAGGGTCTCTCACTATGTTCCCCAGGTTGGGGTACAGTAGCTATTCACAGGCACAATCATAGCTCACTGCAGCCTCAAACTCCTGGGCTCAAGCGATCCTCCTGCCTCAGCCTCCGGAGTAGCTGGGACTACAGGCATGTGCCACCATGCCCAGCAACATAATGTTTTTGAGATTAATTTGAAACATTATGTCAAAACTTTTGCTAGCTTTGTAAAATGAACTGATAAGATTTAAATCTTTTTTTTTCCCTGCACTAAAAGGGTTTATGTTAAATGAAAATTATTTGTTCTGTGAAAGGTTGAAGTAACTCACCTGTGAAATCACCAGAGGCTACAAGCCTTTTTAGGAGACAATATGTTAACAACTTTCTTTAAATTTTTCCTTTATTTTATCAGGACAGGACAAGCATACAAATAAAAATTTTTCCCTTTATTATTGGTCTTTGAGGTAGTTTAATTTTTCTTGAGGCAATTTTTGTGTGTTGTATTTTCCCAGAAATTATAAGCATATGATTATATGTAGAGTCCTCTTAAAGTTTTAAAATCAGTAGTTTCCCTTTTTGCATTTAAAACATTTATTTATGTTTCCTCTAATGGTGGAAGCAAAGCTATTTAATGAACCAATTCTAAAATCTATTAATTCTACTCTTTTTCTGACTATTAAGATTATTCATCAATAATGTTTGCTTTTAACTACATTTTCCAGCTTATTTTCTTGGTTATTTTGATCTTTTAGAAAAACTAAATTATTTAAATGAAAGTTTAATTTGCTTATTTTAATTCTTTTCTGATTAAGGCACTTAAGGTTATGAATTTGCCTATGAAGCAGCTTTGCCTCATCCCATAAGACTTCCTGTATTATTTTCTATTTTTTGTTGTTTTTAAATAGTCTCTTTACAATTTTGAGTTTTGCTCTTTAGCTTGAATGTTGTCCAGGAGAGCGCTTAAAAATATCTAAGTGATTGGGTTGTTTGGTTTGTGTGATAGGAAAGAAGTATTTGCCATTTATAATTCCTCACTGCCTTGTAGGCAGGACGGTTCCTGTACCTTTAGCATCCTTTGCCTGGTACACAGCAGTGACAGGTGTAGGCATAAAAGCTTAGGGGAGCTCGGCTACCCTGCATGAGAGAGGCAGGAAGATTGATACTGCTGAGAGACATCAGGAAGACCCATGAGGGGAAGAGTACCCATGATCATGACAATGATGATGATGATGATGTGTGGCTGAGACAGAGGACCCTCACGGACCTCATGAGCAAATGGGCCCAGCTGGAATGTGTGCAGGAAGGGAGCTAGTGGAGAGTTTGGGAAAAACCACCTGGACTGAGCAAAACCTCACCGCTCTGCCTGTGTAGACTCCAAGTTGGAGACAGTGAGGAATCATTTAGGAATTTTGGCACACAAGTGACATGATTGAGATTTATTTATTCTCAGTGTTAAGATCCCACTCACCTCCTAGGGTGCTGGTGAGCAGGCAAGAGCTGGGAAGATTCCCTGGAGCATGTGAACAGCCCAAGAGTAGAGCCCTAAAGATAGTGGCATTGGAGTCTTCCCAACAAAACAGCCGCACAGATCTCCTTGTATTATGCGTCACACAGTTTCTCAAGTTCAGAAGTTCCCAATCTTTTTTTTTTTTTTTTTTGAGATAGAGTCTCGCTCTGTTACCCTGGCTAGAGTGCCGTGGTATAAGCTTAGCTCACAGCAACCTCAAACTCCTGGGCTCAAGCGATCCTTCTGCCTCAGCCTCCCTAGTAGCTGGGACTACAGGCATGCACCACCATGCCTGGCTAATTTTTTCTATGTATTTTTAGTTGGTCAATTAATTTCTTTCTATTTTTAGTAGAGACCGAGTCTCACTCTTGCTCAGGCTGGTTTCGAACTCCTGACCTTGAGCGATCCTCCCACCTTGGCCTCCCAGAGTGCTAGGATTACAGGCGTGAGCCACCTTGCCCGGCCCCCAATCAGTTTTTTAGTGCCTCAGTGTCAAATATGAGCAGAAAACCAGGGGTCACTTGACATTCAAGAAAAGCCTCTACCATGAAGGACAGAAATCCAAACAGACAAGTAAAGAAACAAAAGCAGCTACACAGGGAGAGGAAATCTTAAAATCACTAATGTTCTCAGAGAAACAATACAAGGTAGAAAGATATGGCATTCATGAAACACATATGGAATGCTAAGGAAAAGAATGCACAGAATTCAGAGAATAATAAAAAGAAGAAACTCAAGGAAATTAAAAACAAAAATGCTTAAAAATAAAAACTTCAACAGAAAGATGGATGATAAAGTTGAGACAATGTCTCAGAGACAGAGTGAGATATACAAAGAGATGAAAAATTGTAGACTAAAAGATAAGAAAATTAGAGAAACAGACTGAGAGGTCCAACATCTAAATAATAGGAGTTTGGGGCTGGGCACAGTGGCTCACGCCTATAATCCTAGCACTCTGCGAGGCCGAGGTGGAAGGATCGCTTGAGGTCAGGAGTTCAGAACCAGCCTGAGCAAGAGCAAGACCCTGTCTCTACCAAAGATAGAAAAAATTAGCCAGGTGTGGTGGCGCATGCCTGTAGTCCCAACTACTTGGGAGGCTGAGGCAGGAGGATCACTTGAACCTAGGAGTTTGAGGCTGCAGTGAGCTATGATGACACCACTGTACTCTATCTAGCCTGGGCAACAGAATAAGACCCTGTCTAAATAAATAAATAAATAAATAAATAAATAAATAAATACAATAATTTGAGTTTAAGAATGAGAGTACACTGAAAATGCAAGAGAAAACATCATCAAAGAAACAATTTAAGAAAAAATTCCTAGAATTGAAAGATACAGACTTCTAGATTGATGGTACTCATCAAATGTTCAATAAAATAGACCCATACCTTTGAAAAGAGATTTTCTTTTTATGGAGTATGCATCTGAAATTTCTGATTTACTTAGAAGATAATTGTTGCCACAGTTGGAGGATACAAGTTGACTTGTGACTTGCATGTGGCCAGACTGCATACAAAAGGACCTCTGGCTGCCTCTGACAACAGAGTGGATTGGTGTCCTGTCAAACAGGCATTTCTATAATGAAAGAATGTCATGTAGAGACACGGCATTCTAATTTTTAAAATATTTAGAGTTGGATGGGGAAGAAAACTTGTCACTTACAAAATAAGGAGGAGGGGCCAACAAACAAACAATCTGGCATTTGTTTTTGGAGCTATGCAATTTACAAACCCCTGTAACCTATGTGTGACGAAGCATTTCAATTACTCTTAGCACGGGTGTGACATCAGGCCTCCCATTCTGTAGACGAGAGTGAGGCTTAGAGAGGCTAAATGAACTGCCCAGGTTGATAGAGTTTCCAGGTGGCAGAGCTGGGATTTAAATGGAGGTCTCTGATTCTCTTGGCCTGTTCCTTATGGTCACCTCAAGGTCACAGGATGGTTGAAGGAGGAAGGTGAGGAGAGCGTGAAAAACAAAGAGCAGGAAAGAACACGGGCCAGCCCTGCCCTTAATGACATTTCTCTCAAGTCTACCCGGTCGTTTCTTACATATTCGCCAGCATGTGCCATGTGGCCACCCCTCTAGACCAGGAACTGGGAAATACAGCATTTCAATTGGGCACTTTGTTCCCCCGACTGAAACCACGGTCCTGTTAGGAAGAAAGATTTGAGCAGGCGACAAGGGGTCTCTGTGGAAGTCAGGCACAAAAGTGACTGATGGGTCCCTTTCTTTGGCTAACTGGAAACTGTTTACATGGATGAATGAAATTTTTTTCTTTCCTTTTTTCCTTACTTTAGATGATTTGCATTATTTTCACGGAATGGAAACAAATTTTACAGTTGACCCTTGAATGATGAGGGGTGATTAGGGGAGCTGACCCCCAATAATCAAAAATCCATGTACAACTTGTGACTCTCCCAAAACTTTACTAATTGGTTAGAGGCCTTACCAATAACATAAACAGTCAATTAACACATATTTTGGTTTTTTTTTGTTTTTTTCAATTAACACATATTTTGTATGTTATATGTATTATGTATACTATACTCTTGCAATGAAGTCAGCTAGAGAAAAGAAAATGTTATTGGTAAAATTAATAATATAAGGAAGAGGCCAGCAAGCACGGTGGCTCTCTCCTGTAATCCCAGCACTTTGGGAGGCTGAGGCGGGAGGATCAATCGAGACCAGGAGTTTGAGACCAGCCTGGACAACATAGGGAGACCTCATCTCTACAAAAATTCAAAAAATTAGCTGGGCATGGAGGCATGCAGCTGTAATTTTCGCCACTCAGGAGGCTGAGGTGGAAGGATTGCCTGAACCCAGGATTGGAGGTTGCGGTGAGCTATGATCACGCCACTGTATTACCCCAGCCTGGGCAACAGAGTGAGACTCTATCTCTTAAAAAAAAAAAGAAAATTGTAAGGAAGAGAAATGTATTTACTGTTCTTTAAGGGCAAGTGGATCTTTATAAAGGTTTCAGTCCCCAGTGCTGTGGAGGAAGAGGAGGGGTTGGTCTTGCTGTCTTAGGGGTGGCAGAGAAAATCTGCATATAAGTGGACCCATGTATTAACAGTTCAAACCCGTGTTCAAGGGTCAACTGTAGTGCATATATTTACTATTTAAATACTGCAAGTTAGCTGTATTGAAGCACGGTAGTCAAATTGACAGGAAACCAAGAATGTCTAAACAGTCAATGTTAAAGTTGGGTACAGTGTATTCATCAGAAAAAGAGAACACAGAGGGAATTTTTCAAAATTCTCAATTTATAAACAGTTCTAAAATGGTAGTGTCAAAAGAAGTCGACAGATAGGTATATATATTTTGGTCTATCTCATGGTTGAAGCTTAATCCCTCTTATTCCAAAATATCTTGTAACAATTACAATGTAGGTAACACACATGTGCGTGTAACGTGTCATTCGGCTTCCCAACGCCTCCGTGCTAGGGGCAGTAATTCACATTTACCTGGGACTTGACATTTTCTAACATGCTTAGATTACCTCATTTGATGCTTGTATTCCCAGGGCTCACTTCTTTGCAATTTAAGCCCCAATAAAAATCTGTCTACTTTAAGTTCTGTGAACACAGTGACTTGAGTTCCTTCCGCTAAGTCTTTGTCCACGTGACCCGCCTTGTGATGCCCGTTTCCTCTTCACGACCCAGTTCGGACCCCAGGCAAGGCCTCTGTTGCGTTGCAGGAAGGGAGAGCTGAGCGCAGTCACACGCAGCTCACGATGCCACTGCATTTGACACTCTGCTCCTCCTGGCCTCGGCTTTGCTGAGCTCCCCGGCTTTAGGGAAGAAAAGGGAAAAAAAAACAACAAAAAACCCCAAAAAACCCAAACCAAAGTCCCCTCCAGGCCGCTGCATTTCCTTTTCACATTTCCAGGGTCTGCCAGGGGAGGGTGCATGTTAGATTGTTCATTGGCTCATGGTCACCCCCCTGAGACAGGTGTCAAATCCTGTGTCTCGTGGTACAAGAGCCTCGTGAGTGCTGGGCACCGTTCAAGGTGGAATGGCCCAGAGCTCCAGGGTCTCTGAGGGCCTCTGGCTGGTTATGATTAGGGTTTTAGGAAAAACAGAATACACTTGGCTGAATCTGGAACTTTCTGTCGTTAGGTTTGGTTGGGTGGGAGGGCGCCTTGAGTGGCTTTCAAGCTTCGGAGATCCCAAATCCAAGATCCACAAGGACCTATTTCTGGAACCTTCCCAGCTTATCTGCACTGTCAATGCATGCCCCCAAGTTGTCTCTGCTGCCAGACTGGGAGATAATCGGGGGTACGGACTGAACCTACTGGCCTGGCTCACCCACGGGGCCTAGTCTGGTGCCGGGCACCCAGGGGGCTGCAGAGAGGGTTGGTTTGATTGAAACCACGGAGGAGCCTCCCGCTGCAGCGTCTTCCCGGGGCTCCATAAGCAGTCACGTGGCTGCCTACAGAGGAGAAGAAGATAAAAGAATCCCAGGTGACTCTGTGGGTTAAAGAGGTTTCAAAGCTCTTGCTTTAGAAGCTCAAGTAAAACTTTCCCCTCGTGTTGACTGGATAAAGCATCCTGCCAGCCAGCCTGGGCTTGTCTAGGACCTGGGGGCGGGGGGGCAGGGAGAAGGGAGAGCAATGTTGTCACTTTAATTGCATTGGCATAAATATTTGATATTCAATAAATTAGATCTGGAGCAAGGAAAACATTCTTGCAAATGGATTTTTTACCTGGAGTCCAGCCCCATTAGCGGAGGAGAGGAGGGCAGCCTGCCCCGGGGCCGGTAATTAACTCAAGTGGAGCAGAACTAAGCATTTTTGACAGCCTTCCTGGTCTGGAATTAACTGTCATTTCAGAGGGGAAAAGAAACTGCACTGTCACATCACGGTTTACGGGAGGCTCCCCAAAGCTGCCAGCCGGCTGGGTTTAGTTATGTCTCCCCCTCATGCCCCGCAATGTTTTTTCATCATTAGAGACAAGTTTAAAAGCAACTAACGATGTATTTTATATCCACGTACCTGAATCACAGATTTCACCAAAAGAGAAGACATTAGCATGGTAATTCAAATTTTTTTTTTCCCCTTTTGGCAGCTGTAATGAAACAAGATACAGTGGATTCTGTTAGAAGTCACAACACTGTGATATTTGAAGATGGTACAAACTGGCTTTTTCCCTCCTGTCTGCATCAGGACTTGCCTGTGACAAGCAACAGCTTAGCCACTGTCTGTCTGTGCTGTCTTGCCCCCGCCCCCCACCCCCAGTGTTTGTGAAAGTAGCAATTGCTTCTGAGAAAAGGCAAAACCGTTGGAGCCTGAAGCTTTTTCTAGAAGCCACTGCTTGTCTTGTTGTTCCGAGGAAGCTGATAGGGTGGAAATTGGAGCTGTGCCGGCCTCGCCTTGCCAGCCTGTGTGCACGCGCTGCTTTCTAAGCCTGGAGAAGTCCGCCAGACTCCGAGTGCTGGGCATGTGCCCGCGGTCCCCAGGGAGTGTCAGCCGGCTTCAGAGAGGAAGGGCTGCGCGCGCTCTGGTGCACTGGCAGGGGTGGGTGGTGCAGTGCGCACACGCAGCTCACACACACCTGCTTCTCTTCGGTTTTCTGCCTACTCCAGCCGTGGTACCACCCCAGCTCACCATCCTCGTCCCGCAGCCTCGGCACCGTTTTCCTGGCGCCCCACATCCAACGCGAGCCCGAATCCCCCGTGATTGCCCCCTTTCTGCCATCCTCCGCAAGGTGGCCCGATGGCCCTCCTCGCTGACCTGGCCTGCCCCCTGCACAGCCTTGGAGCTGAAGATCGTGCTCCTGCCCTGCTTCAAGGCTCCTTGGTGTTGGCTTTCTTCTTGGGACACAGGCAGGACCCCTAACCTTGGCTGCTTATCAGAATCTTGGGGGCCCAGACTGACTGGACCAGAGTCCACAAGGTGGGTGCCTGGGCGGTTTGGGTGGCAGCCCAAGGCTTATAGGATCAAGCCCTAAAAGCTTAGCCTCATCTGCCGAACCTCCCCTTTGGGCCACAGGAGACGTCAGGCTCAGCCACAACCCTAGACTTCCCCTCAACAGTGCAAACCGCCCCCAACTCTTCCCCTGGTCAAGTTCCACTCCTCCTTTAAGACCTGATGAAATGTCACTTCCCTAACTCCTCCAGGCAGGATTACAGTCATTCACTCATTTGCTCACTCATCCATTCATTCATTCATTCATTCATTCAGCAAACACTCACTAAGTGCTTGCAGGCGCCAGTCCCGTGCTGGGACCTGAACACGAGGGAGAGACAGAGCTCCCTGCTGCTGGGGAAGACGGGGGAGCCGGGAGCAGAGTGGGCAGTCAGGGAAGGCTTCCTAGAGGAAGTGACACTCCTGGGTGATCCGAAGGGGGTGTGGGAGTTAGCCACCGAAGGAGTGAGGGTGGGAAGGGAAAGGCCTTGGATGGGGGAGAGTATTCGAGGACAGGCAGGAGTGAGACCCAAGGGGTAAGCAGAGGCCAGATTCCGCCACATCACTGAGTCGTGGTTCGGGGTGTGTGGTGCGGATGCTTAGCAGGTGTTTTCCGGGGAAGCAGGAGGCCAGGCTGCAGGCAGTGGTGGGGCAGTGGAGGGTACTGAGCTGAAAGCCGGTGCCAGAGAGGGGAGGGGATGTGACCTCCAGGATGTAGGTGATGAGGTGTGCCCTTGCAGTTTATGGCCCCTGAGGCAGGTGTCAGTATTCCCATTTCACAGATGTAACATTTGAGGTTCTAGTTAATTAATATGCCCATGGTCATGCAGAGCTGGGATTCGAACCAGGCGAGGTGATTCTGGAGCCCACGCCTTTAACCCGGGCTGTGCCACGCAGCCTTGGGCTCACCTGCCTTCTCGCCTGAGCTGGCCGTCTTCTTTCCAGCCCACACCTGGCTCAGGGCTGACTCCTGGGGCTGCCCGGAAACTGGGGTCCTGCGTAGACTGCGGGACATTGGAATTTCCAATGCTACCATTCAAGAGAGAAATAGGATGTTTGAAAAGGGAGTTCAGATCCCTTTGAGAGATTGACATGGGATTGGTGGCAGCTGTTGCGTGACTGCCCCATGGCGGGGAAAGGCAAGGGAAGTGAGAGCCAGGCCTGGGAGAGCACAGAGCTGTGTCTCCTGGTTGCTGGCTGGGCTCCCAGATGCCGGGGGAGCACTTCTGTGCTCTGGCCACTGCCCTCGCCGATATTTTACTGCGAGATCATTTGCATAGAATAAAATGCACAGGTCTAAGAATTCAGCTTGATGACTTTTTAAAAAAAAAAAAGATTTTTAAATTCAGGGATAGCTTTATATTTACAAAAAGATTGCAGAAGTGGTATAGAATTTCCATATACCCTATACCTTGCATTGTCAGAAGACAGCTGTCAAAACTAAGAAACTGACATTGGTACCTGACTGTGAACAAAACTCCAGACTTCCCCCAGCTTTTCCGCTCATATCCTCCTCCTGGATCCCACGTTGCGTTTGGTTGTCAGGTCTTCCTGGTCTCCTCCGTCTGTGACAGTTTCACAGTCTTTCCTTGTTTTTCATGACCTTGACAGTTTTGAGGAGTATTGGTCAAATATTTTGCGGAAGGTGCTTCAATTTGATTTCCAGTGTTGTTTTGCTCATGATTAGACCTGGCTCATGGGATTGGGGGAATGATCCTCACATACGTGAGTGCCCTTCTCACTGCATCATGTCTGAGGCACGTAAGGGCCCCATGACTCATCACTGGTGATCAATGGCATTTTGAAAACTGCATACATTTGTTTGCCACCCAGATCGAGATATAGAACATCTCCAGATTCCCAGAAAGTTCCCTTGTGCCCCTTTCCAGCCAATCTCTGCCTCCCACCCCTAGGTAACCACTGTTTGGATTTCTACCACTATAAATTAATTAATTGTGCCTGTGCTTGAACTTCTAAGAGGAATCATGACTATATACTCTTATTGTGTCTGGCTTTATTTGCACGACATAATGTTTTAGAGGTGCATCCATATTGTTGACAGTAGCAATAGATTGTGTTTTGTTCATTGTTGCCTAGTATTCCACTGTAGGAATACACACGATTTATTTATCCATTCACTGCTGATGGATAGTTGGGCTGTTTCCAGTTTGGGGTTATTATGTATCATATAAAGCTACCATGTACATTTCTGTGCAGTTGTTTCTAAGGATGTGCTGTGCTTGAGTTTTGAAAGTCCGAGTGATGGGGGAACTTTCATCTCATCTCTTCAGCTTTTATTCTTAAAGACTTTCTAAAAATACTCTTATTTGCTCTCTCTACAAATGGATGAGGGAAGAATGAAAGCCTCTAAAAGGCACAGAGGGAAAAGCTCTTGCTAGGAGACAAACACTCTTTGCATCAGCAAATCTCATCAGCTCTCGCTCCAAGATACCTGGTCCTGGGCTTTGCTTTGTGAGAAGTTTTTTGACTGTCGACTCAATTGCTTTACTTGTTATAGGGATATTCAGATTTTTAATTTCTTCTTTAATTACTTTTGCTAGCTTATATCTTCCTAGGAATTTTTCCATTTTTATCTATGTTAACCAATTTGTTGGCATAGAATTGTTCATAGTAATCCATGATAGACCTTGTTTCTGTGGTTGATAGTAATGTTACTCCTTTCATTCCTGATTTTCATAATTTGAATCTTCTCTCTTTTTTTTTTCCCTTGGTAAACTTAGCTAAAGGTTTGCCAATTTTATTGATCTTTACAAAGAACCAATTTTTGGTTTTATTGATTTTTCTCTTTTATTTTCTATTCTCTATTTCATTTATTTCTGTTCTAATGTTTACTGTTTCCTTTCTTT